ATATTATTAGCGTGGTGCAGTGGTGTAAGCCTGTAATCCCAGCAACTTGGGAGGCTGAGACAGGAGAATTGCAAGTTTGAGGCCAGCCTCAGCAATTTAGCAAGTCCCTTATGGAGACCGTGTTTCAAATAAAATATGTCCAAGTGGACTATATTACTATACTGAAACTATATTTCTCTTGGCCATTTTTACTCTTTTATTCTTATTTTCTCATAAGCATACAGTGAAGTTTTACAGAGGCTATGTAACACATGATATAGCAACAGATTTAGGCATTTCTGAACTTAGGAATTAGAATTATCTTCTATTATGTCACATACTGAAGAGATTCACAAAAATGAAAAAAATAATGACACTCTAACTTTTTATTTTGGAGAATATGATTATTTTATCTGGAAATGATTATTTATGTTAATACATGATTTACTCTTTTTAAAATAACTAAATATTTTAAAGCTTCCTCAGAACTTGAGACAGTATTTATTATGTTAAATATCGATTGATGATCACCAACACACAAAAAAGCTTAACAATTCTTGGGAATGTAACAGGGTCTTAAGATGAAGAAGTTTGATAAGCTCTAATTTAAGTTCATTCTACTAACATGAATTCCCAAAGTTTCCAACGATTTATCATCTGGCACATTGCCTCATATAAAAAGAGGTCGATTTTTAGGAAAGTATCTCTTAATCTTGATGGCTTGTTGATTGCAGAAGAGGAAGTTTTTTGTTAGCTTTACAATTTCTTTAAATGACATCTTATGTGAAAGCCTACTATTTAAAAGTAAGAACAGCAGCAAAGAAAGGACTTGAATTTAAACTCTTTAAATTTCTGTCTTGATGCCACAGGGGCCACAGTAGGTCAAATCACAGAGATCCTTGGAGAATAATTTGATGATTGTAGAGAACTAATTGCAAAATGACTCCAATGATAACAGGCACAATTGCTATGGGTTATCAGTACTAGGCACATCCATCCAGGGTCTTGCTTCATAACTGGCACAGAGCACAGTTCGGCAAATATGGTACATAAATGACCTTCTACCAGGAGCAAGACATAACTTCAGATCAGTGTTGAAACAGTAGTCACTGAAATCAAACTTCTTCAATGGGAAACAACTGTGAGTTCTATTTCCAGGGGTCCAGGACCACTTAATGTATTTCACATCTCCATGTATTCAGACAAATACCTGAGCTTCGCATAATTACAAAATGAATATATGAAGAGCTTAGTTAGGCAAGAGGTCACTTTCAATGCTGTGTTTCTGGGAAAAGAAAACTATCTGCTAGGTATCATGAAAACTGCTTTAAAGTGTATAAGGTAAGGAAAATGATCAGCTCAGAGCACTTTTAAAAACATCCGTGTTATTACATGAATTATGACAAATTCCTATCACTTCAAATATTCTCACTCCCACAATTAAGAGCATCTGAGCATTTAATGATTATGTTTGGAGGTGTTAGAAGTATTGGAAACATGAGAATCACCCACTGGATTAGGTTGAAACAAACAGTATGTGTTTTCCCTGGGGTTATACCAGAAACAGAAAAGAAAGATCCAGTATTAACAGAAGCACAAGCACTAAAAAGAGCAGCAAGGAAGCCTGGTGGGATATTTGAGGGCAGTTGCTTGCTGAGCCAGGAGGTCCTCTGCACACTCTGGATGGCTGCACTGTCTGCTCCTGTGAGGGTCCACGTGGCATTCAACATTGGCCCGGGTCGACTGTGGCAGGAGTGATCTCCAGCATCTTTCTTTATCTCAAGGCCAAATGCAAACAAGCTGAGGCCAGCATGCCACCTAGGACCCTGGTTCTCACAGTAAGCAGGAAACGCATTCTTCATAAGATTGCTAATTTTATTTATATAAAAAAAATGTGGGGCTGTTTGTTGTATCATCATTAAAATAGTCAGAGGATAAGGAAAAGTTGATGGATAACTTCCTGAAGTAAATGAATGTCTTTTTTTTTTTAACTCCCCTTAGAGTACAGATCAGCCACAGACTTTAATGCAGTAATACTGATTTTAGAACTTGCAAGGAAAACCTTGACTATGACATCTAAGCTTAGGAAAGAATTCCATACGAGGCTAGGTAAAGAAAGAAGGTTGATGGAAAACAGAGGAGCAAAGTACTTTCACCCAGGGACCAGTGACTTGTTCATACTAATATTTGTTCCCTGACTGCAAGCTGGGCTCAATCCCTAGCCATGCTTCCAAAAGTGGCATTGCCAAGCCAGGACTGCCTATCCACAGATCAAGAGAGCCTTGATGGGCTATGGATGTCTGGGCCTGTTGTCTCGCCGTGTGAGAGGCTTACTATAGTTTAATTTCCTTTTCCTTCAGCTAGAAGACAGGGGCAATAAAAGCATAAGAATTCCTGTCTGATTTCTTTACCCCTGTAAAACCAAAGCAAATATCAGGCAGTCAATATTGGTAGAATGTGTGTCTAGCTATGTGCAGTTTCCAAAAGCAAATTTTCATATTTGATTGTGTTGCCTCTTGATTAGCTGAAAGAGAAGCTGCATGTCCACTATCAAAGACTTTCAAGGAAAAATTAACAGGAAGCCTGCAGCAAGCTCCCGTGACAAGGGTCCAAACACATATGGCAGAAACTGTCAGTATACAGAAGACAGAAATGGATCTCCATGAACATACCCTTACATGGGACAAATATCAGAAATCAGTTGCCAATTTTAGTAACATTTAAGAGTTTCTGATGAGTTATAACTGTGATTCCCAAATGTTTTGATCTTAGGACTCTCTTAAAATTTATTCAGGATCCCAAAAGGTTTTATGCTTTATGTGGGTTTTATCTATATAACATTTACCATATCAGAAATTGGATTTCTCATAGGATTTAAAGCATTTTTTTCATTATTCCATTAAAAACACCCATAGGGCATGCCTATAATCCTGGCAGTATGGGAGGCTGAGGTAGGAGGATCACCAGTTCAAAGTCAGCCTCAACAATTTAACAACCCTAAGCAAATTAATGAGACCCTGTCTCAAAATAAAAAAAAATAAAAAGGGGTGGGGATGTGCTCAGTGGTTAAGCGCCTCTGGATTAAATCCCCAGTACCCTCCACTCAGCAAATAGCATCTTTTCATAAACAATTACCATGGTTTCCCAAACAAAGTATATTAGTGAGTGAATGGAAATGGTTTGCGATTTTTCAAGTCTCCTTTATGTTTGACTTAGTGGAAGGTAATTAGATTCTTCCTGCCCAAGCTTAGTAATCAAGATTTTTGTGATACTGAAGGAAGGGAGCAGAGAATCTAGAAATAGATGCACACAAATCCAACCAAGTGATTTTTGACTGAGGTGCAAAAGTGGTTCAAGGAAAAAAGGTTGGCCTTTTCAGCAAATGTTGTGAAGATGGTCATCAGTGCAAAAAAAAAAAAAATTAAGCCTCAGTCTTAAACGTCACACCTGCCCATAATGTTGACAGCAATTTCATTCACAGTAGCCAAACACCAGAAGCAGTCCAAATGCCCCCCTAGTGGGTGAGCAGCTGAACATAGTGTAGGGCCTCCAGATCATGGACGGTAGGAAGAAAGGGGAATAACTTAAATGGATCAGGATCTTACATGTACACTGTAAAATCATAACATTTTTAAATGAACAAATAAGACAATCTTAGAGACTTAGGTGAGGCCAAGATTTCTTCCACCTGATGTCAAAAACACAATCCATATATGCAATACACTTTCCATCAAAAAGCTAATAAACTTGACCTCATCATAACTAAAAGATTTTCATCTGTGAAAGACTCTGTTATACAGACAAAAAGGCAAGCTGTAGGCTGGGGAGAAAATGTTAGTAAATCACACGTCTGATAAAGGACTTCATCTAGAATATACAAAGAACTCTCAAAATTTGTCAATTAAAAAAATTTAAAAATTTCAATTAGAAAAATGGGCAAAAATCATGAAGAGATATTTCATTAAAGAGAATAAGATTCCATCAAATGGCAAATACATTAAAAGTTGTCTGATATCATTTAAGTATTAGGAAATCACAAATGTAAGCCACATTGACTTATTATTGTTCAAGTGTTAGCATGGCTAAAATTAAAAAAAGAAAAAAAAAAAAAACTGACCACACAAGTGCTGGTGAGATCTAAAGAAACTGGGTCACTTACACATTGCTGAATATACCATGGTATGGCTGCCCTAGGAGACAGCTGGATAGTTTTTATAAAAAAGTAAACACAGAACTAAGAGCCATTATACTCCTGGAGATTTTCCCCAAAGAAATGAGGCATGTTCACACAAAGACCTGTGCACACAGTTAATAGTAATTTTACACATAGTAGCACAAACCTAGAATCAGACCTGATGGCGAGTGGCTGAACACACCAGAATCCAGATGATGGAATGTTAGGGAGGAAAGGGAATAAACTATAGATACATACATAACTTGGATGGATTTCCACCTCAGTATTGTGTTGAGAGAAAGGGGAGAGAGAGTGTGCCAATACCAAAAGGTTACATGCTGTACAACACCATTGATATAACATCTTTTAATTGTAAAAATTGTAGAAATGGAAACTGATTGTTGATTGCTTTAAGGACAGAGGGCAGAGTGCAAGAGGAGAGGTGTTGCTGCTGTTTATAAATGGGAAACAGGAAGAATCCTTGTGAAAAGGGAAATGTTTTGTACCTCGACTGCATAAATGTCAATATTTTTGTGACATTGCTCCATAGGGTTAAAAATGTTACTACTGGGAGAAACTGGGCAAAGGATACATGGAAGCACTATATTATTTCCATTGCATTTGATGTGACAAGAATCCCTCAAGGTTAAAAGTAAATTATCTCAATATCAAGTTCATATACATGTTAAATCTATATAGTATATACTACATATGTATTTGTGTGTGTATATGTGTGTGATCTTCTCTTTGCCAACTGAAGATCATTTCTTTGGGTTTGGAACATTTCTAGAATGTCAGACAGTTAATTAAAAAATCAGTTTTGTCTTCTAAACATCTGAAGTCATCATGACTAATGCTATTTTCAGAGTTCAAGTAAACACTTTCATAATGAGAGGAATAGAGTTTACTGGGAAAGTTAGTATTATCTTCTAAATATGGTTTGATAGAAAACAATTTAGCCAGTATATTCTTGCTATGCTAAAGTTACAACAGCAGGCTCTTTGAGCTGCATATAGCATAAGCCCTACAGACCTGTTGCCAAGGTAAGTTGTTTACTTTCAACTGTGTTTTTATTGTCTTCAAAGACTTATTTGGGAGTTTTTAATTTGCTATTGTGGTAGGAGAGAATGCAAAGGAATAGATGATCTAAATGAAAGACTGAGAAATGGTATTTTGATCTATCCAATGACAGAGTTTTGTGCCTTAAGTGGGGTCAACAGCACGAATTTTCGTGTGCTGGATTTTGAACCACTTAAGGAATAAATCTGTTTACAATGATGCAACCTCTTTTGAATTAATAGAAGATTTTGTACAGCATTAGTAGAAAGAGCAAAATGTATATTATTATAACACTTTAAAAATTCATAAAGGTGGCTATATGGAAGAGTGACAAATTGGAGTAACCATGGAAACTTGTCTTGCAGCAGCCTGTCGGCATTCTTCTGGTGGAAGCCTGTGACCACCCTGCTCTGCAAGCTCAGCTTGCAGGGCCTGTTTGATGCCTGGGCTTCTCAAACCTCATGACACCTGGTAAAATGAGTTCCTTCAGCATCTCAGTCTCTGCTGAGGGAGTTTGGGAGGGAATTAAAGAGGGAAGACTGGCTGATTATTTTCTAAAGGGCCTTAGAAAGATTGGCAAGGAAAAAATATATAATAGATTTTTCAAGGGGTCCTTTAGTCAAATGACTGAGTCTATAAACCTCTTGAGCATGGGCAAAAATACAGCTTGTAGATGACTCAATTAGAATTAATTAGAATGGCATTGTTTTCAGAAAAATACCAAGAGACCGTGTACCATTTTTTTTAATCAAATATAAAAGGTTATTTATACCAGCAACAATAATATGGATGGTAGTACATTACAAAAAGGGTGCTTTCTCAGCAACCGCTGAGTCTAATTACTTCATCTTGTACGTTCAGGAAACTTCTGAAAAGAGAAAGGATTTACCCAAGTCCAAAAACTAATTAGTGGCAGAGCAAGCCCTGGACTCCAGGACTTTGACTTTGAGTTCATGGCTGTTAATACTGCTACTTTGTTAACAAAGAAAATGTTCCAGTGGCAAACTGTTCTTTTCTCTCCTTCAATAAATACAGTAGAAAATTACATAAGCCCTGGTTAAATACTGTTTGTGGCTGATGTTTGGATTAGACTAACGGGTACTCCTGGTCCTGTCTAGAGTTCTCTCTGTTATGCAAGGCCAGAAGACACACGGGATTCCAATTCCAGGATTCCCTATAGGTAGAAGTCACTGGAAGATGCAGTAGGATTTTGAGAGCTGGGCTAACCCAGAAGACCACTGCCACAGTCCCACCAGCACCACCAGGTAGATATCCCTTCTGCTTAACCCTGTTAGAGTGGCTTCTTTGATCTTCAGTTGAACCTTAACCAACACAGGTTTACAAAGCAGAAAACTAAGAAAATATTTGAAAAGATACTAAAATACAAAGCTGGACACCTAAGGGTCTTGAGGCCAGAAAGTAAAGTAAGAGTTGGGTTAAAACTAAGGGATGAATTTGCTTTGGGAGGGGAAATCTAGTTAGCCAATGGCACAGGATTTCAATTCCTGGAGGAAACAGGTGACCACTCCTGGGCTACAATTACACTTGAAAATCATACCTCCAACAAAAGCAAGGGCCCACCTACCTTTCCCTCCCTCTCACCCTGGAAACCACCTTAAAAGGAATAAAGAAATCAGACTTCAGAAGAGCTCTCAAGTAGGACTTCTGGGTACACAAACGATTTCCTGATTTGCTTGCTGATGCCTGAAATTCTTTTAACAGGGAGCAAATTACACATAATTAGAAATAAAAGTGTCAAAATGCAAATGCTGATTGAGTTGACTTGTGCAAAACTCATCAATAGTAAAGGGTAATTGGTTAATTAAATTAGAGTTAATTATAATTTCGGGACTCATTGTTTCGTGATGGAACTGATTAACACGTGGGAGGACCTACTATGAAGGTCCTCGCTGGGACACACCCCTTGCCATCTGGTCTCCTTACAACTCTGCTGCTCCATTTTTATTCCCATTTCCCAGATATAGAGACTGAGATTCAAGGAGATTAAAAATCTTAGCCCAAGTCATGAAGAGAAGGCAGGGTTCAGAGGCTGGGTCAACCCTCCTTGGCTTCTCATAGTCAGGGAAAAATTGAAACAGCTTTCATAGAGTTTTCTCATGGGAAGACAGGCAGGAAGTTCTGTTTTCCAAGATTTATGGTTTTTCTTCCTTTAAGATGGCTTACTTTTTCTTTCTTTCTTTTCTTTCCTTTTTTGAAAACAGTTTATTGGACCCAAAGGATTCATTAATAACAACAGACGGCAGCAAACAGCCTTTGTATATCAGCTTACGGTCCAACAGTGTCTCCTACCCTGCACGTTTTCATGTACGTGGTCTCATGTATTTTACCCTCATAGTTAGAACCCACACCATTCCCATCTAGTTTTAAGATGTAAACTGAGTCCACCAAATCGCTGCTTTGCCCCGAATCACACACTAAGTGGAGATTCTGGATCCCAAACGCAGGAACTCAATCCTCACTACAATCTCTCATTGCTCATGAGATAGCACCAACCCCAGACCCCAGAGATGGAGCGAGACTTACAGAGGGCAAGGCTCCAGAGAAAAAGGTTCTGTTCAATACTTTTCCCATTTCACTCTTGCTGCCACCTCTGTCACTGTTCACATCACACGCAAACTGTTGACCTCATTGTTTTAACCATGAGGGCTAGTTTTTTCTTATTCATTTTAATATTTCTAGCACCTGACATAATGGCTGTAGGCTTCAGTATATTCTGATGAACAAGGACCTTCAAAATGCCGACTTTCAGTGCAGAATAAAAGCAGTATATTTTTTACTCCAATGTTTTAACTGATCCTGTTTTTCATTTTCACCACACACACGGATTTCATGGGCAGTGACTGGCACAATATCTCAGAAATAGAGAATGAATTAGTATGTTTTTAGAACAACTCATTTTCACTGCTAGCAATACCAGGCCAAATATTCTACTACTCATTCTAAAACTTGATAGAGGCACCTTCTTTGGAAGAGTATACCATTCTCAGTTTTCTTCCTCACCCACTAAAATAAAACAAGTCACACTGGACCAGCAATTTTTTTTGTGTCAAACCAGATGGCAGTAGTACCTGCCTTTGGAATCATGATAAATGCAGTCGCCCCACAGAGAAATTCACTCTGGACCTGGACTCTTGTCGCCAAATGTTGGCCAATGCAAACAGCCATTAAGAGAAAGAATCCTGATTTATTTCTTTAATTTTCTCATGCAGACAGAGCATTTGTGGTTAAATGGTACCTTAATTGAATAAAAACATTCTGATTTTTAAGTCTGTATTTTTCTGACCTTTGTATATGATGGAAGGCCATTGCAAATCTGATCTGGAAAATCTCCCAGATTTGAATAGGTGTTTGCATCCTAGAATGCCCTGGATATTGTTCTGTGCCCTTAAGGTGGTGAATACTATATGAAAGTATGTACAGGTGTGTGTGTGTGTGTGTGTGTGTGTGTGTGTGTGTGTGCATGAGTGTGTGTATGTATATACACATACAAGCATGCGTGTGAGCACATACACATACACACAAATATTTAGCTGCAGTAAACATCAGCATTGAATATACCCCAACTAGTTTTCAGGCCATTTCACAACCCCAGATCCATAAATGCTTAGAGTGTTGTTGACTTTGAGGCCTTATGGGTGTGGCCTACAGGATTCACAGTGTTGAAAGGGCAAAAGGAAATAGAGCAGAAGTCTGACGACTCCAAGCCATTCAAAAGCACTTTGTGCAAGAAAATTTGTTTTACTTGTCAATTGTCAATCATAACAAATAATAGGAATCTTTGGAGTTCTTTTCAATGAATTCTGCTGTGTATATACTGGATTTATTTAGGAATCAATGAGCAGTACCTACAGAGATAGTGGCCTCTGAAGGGTCAGACAGAATTATAAGGGACAGGATTATAAGATTCAGAATTGGGACGATTACTGAACTTTCCATGTTATCTATTGGTTCCAGCACTATTCAAATTGTATTTAGTTAACCATTTCTCTGTCCATCTTATACTGCTATCTTCTCAATATTAGAAGCAAAATTTTGTTTACTTTTACAAAATCAGAATGGTGCCTGTGTAATCTAGCACCATTATCAAACTGCTGTGTGGCACTTAATAGATAGAAAATGGTAGTTGACTCTTCAAATAGTCTGCATTTATGTTGTATGAAACTGCTCTTTAATTTTACTCCATGGCAAACATATACCAAGTAGATTTAAATTAATGACATAAATCCTATGCTATAGCATTTAAGATTATTATAGTTTATCTGAACTCGGGTTTTTGGTACTAATGCTACTAAAATTTTGAATGCTTTCTCTAAGTGAGAGAGAAGGGGGGTATCTTCTGAATAAATTATGCAAATAATAAAATCTGATACATATAATTTTTTACAAGCTCACAGAAAATTCATTGACTCTTTGTTCTACCAAACAATACTGCGAGGTAGAAACATTAGATATTATCATTACAATCAACTCCCCTTTAAAAGAGAGAAAGGCAAATTTGAGGAAATAAATTGGTTTTTCTAAGTTTCTACCTAAAACATATTGAGCAAGGAGTTGAAATGCCAATTTATTTCACTTCAAATACTCTGGCATTTTCTACTAAAAGCCCATTTTTTTTTTCATTTTAATATACATTGGGTAGAGTTAACATTTGTTGGCTTGAGGTGTTGGTGGTTAATCTTGGGTGTTCTTCCTGGTTCATTCATAAATATGGCACAGTCCTTGGAGGTAGAATGGTGCAGGATAAGGACATGGATTTGAATAAGGATCTGACTCCAGATGGACCACATTGATTTACTTTTAACTACAGATTTCTTCATTAAAATTCAAATAAAAAGTAAGAGAAAGCAATCAAATAAATAAATAGAGAGAGATCAAAGGAGACACCAGAAAAATCTGTGGACATGAAACAGCAATTAAACACTTGATGCACATTTTTCTCACCTGTCCAATGGAACCAGTTGTCCTTTCAGCACCTGTGTGGACAGTAAAGGAAGTGGGAAGCACTCAGGTCCCCCAACTGGAGATGGAATCCACCTCAGCAAGAAAACTGGGGGCTGATTCCTGCCATAAAAACAGGAGATTCATTTGGCTTTCTATACTTCATCTAGATATAACTATGTTTAAGAACATTCTATAATTTCATAATAAATGCTAAAACTTTGTCCTTCCTACTGACATTCTTTCTAAACATGTAGATTTATAATCTCTTTTTATTGTAACTCTTGAAGTACCATGTTCTAGATGCATTTGGGGGTAGCAGAGTGACAAATAACTATCTAAGATGGAAGACCTTGTTACTGAAATGTCATTTATGCTATTCATGTAAAGAGAGATTTCTAAGTATCTTTTTCCCATTCAAAAATTATGAAATTGTATCACTAACATAACTCACTCTTCAAAACCCATTTCAGCATTGAGGATGTTCTTTTGGGCTTAGTTAATAAATAAGATTAATGTGTGGAGGGAAATTATCTTTTCTTGGATCACATATTTTGACAATATTTTGTATAAATAGAAATTTAATTTCTTACTCAATGTTTGAACTTTGGCCCCTTTCTGGAACTTGTAACTACAAAATTAAAAAAAAGAGTCTTTTAAATATGATATGCTTGACATTAATGAGTTTCCATTCTTGGGTACTGGTATGAAGATCATAAATTCATTTCTAGGTTTCAGGAGACCACAGTTGATAAATGAATGATTATTTAGAAAACAAAAACAACATTGTATGTCCAGTGCTTCTAGCTACATAGGAGTCTATATAAAGAGAATACAGTCACTTTTCCTATACCATGCATGCAGAATAGAGGTTTTTGTCAAATCTAAACAAATCAAAACACTAATGATGTTCTTCTCATATTTTCTCTGGGTACCTTTGTGTCTTTCGTGCCATGGCCACTGTGAGGGACAGTGCACACTGTGTCAGAGGTTGGGGCCCTGGTTCTGGGTGTTCAATTACCTGGCAGGCCTTTGGGTCACCATAGTTCTGGGAATTAGCTCAAGGCCAAAATACAGATTTCTACCAATCATGAATGGGAAAAAAAATGAAGTGTCCTTTTTTGCAACAATATTCTTCCAAATTTGGATGGTTTATGTCCTTCAGTTTGAGAAATATAGAGGTGGTTGATAGAAATTATCTTCTTTTTTGAAGGTGATTATTTGGCAAAATAAGGGTTGCCTTTTGTCTGCCTGGTCACCCCTAACACCCACTGAGAAATCTTGAAGTCTAGGATCCACCAAACTCAGCTGGACTCAGTTTCACTACACACTAGCCTCCTTGTATGAGTATTTGAACGTATGTCTCTGCAAAACAAAACAAAACAATGCATATCATGGGACTTTAGTGTCACTTGCAACAGTCAAAAGAATTGATTGAAAATGTGGGAACCCAACTCTCCAATGTTCTTATTTAAACTGGTTCCCTTTTTCCAGGTTTGTTTATTAAAGTGCAATCATGGTTTGGCTTTGGTTTCTCCATCAAAGGGGACACATGGGGGTGGGACAGTTGCACTAGCATGTTTATTGCAGCACTATTTACAATAGCCAGGAAATGGAAGCAACTGATATGTCCATGGATGAATGAATGATAAAGAAAATATGGTGCATACATACCATGGTATGTTATTTAGCCATCAAAAAAGAATGAAACCCTATTACCTGTGATAACAAAGGTAGAACCGGAGGACTTTATGTTATAGGCAATATATAAGGCATAGAAGGAAAAACATTGCATATCCTCACATATATGTGAAAGCTAAAAAAATGATTTCATCAAAGTGAAAATAATATGGGCACTAGAAGCCAAGAAGAGTTGGAAGGAAACGTGATAAAGGGTGGTTGGAAGATGGGCACCAGAATACAGTTAGATAGGAGGAACATGTACAAGTGATCTGCAGCAGGATAGGGCAACTGTAATTTAAAACAATTTACTATGTATATTATATGGAACTAGAAGACAGGATCTTGAAGCTTCCCATCACCGAGAAATGATAAATATTGGAGATGGAAACGCTGGTTACCTTGATTTGATTATTTTCTATTGTATCCATGTATCAAATTCACCTCACTGTATCCATAAAAATGTACAATTAAAATGACATCAGCAGCAGTAGCAGTAACAACAACAACAACAACAATAATAATAGAAAATGCCAGTGATGAGAGGAAGGTGACCTGCTCTGGTAGAAAAGCCTCAATGGACATGTGGATAATGAATTATGGAGAGTGAAGAGACTGAGATGCAAAGTCTATGGGAAGGTGACTGGTCCATTTTCTTGCTGAGATTTTTTTTCCAAAAGACTCCTCACCACTATGAGGGCTGCCATGCTGGGTGACGTGATCAGAAAACTAGTAGGAGGAGAAAGCGTTTTTCTCCAGAGGCCAATCAGCAAAGGCAAGCTTCTTGTTAATTATAATTGACTCTAGCAACTGGAATCTCCAACACTCTTGGCTAGCAATAGAAAGTATAGGGGTAAGGGATGGGTAGGAGTAGACCAATAGCTTGGGCACAGCTTGTCTTACTCATCGAAACAGAGTGGAATAGGGGTCACAAGGGAACTGGAGTGGGAGGAGAGATGTTGGTCAAAGGTACCAAGTTTCAGGTGGACAAGAGAAAGAAGTTCTGTACGCCTAGTGTATAGCATGGTGACTATAGTTAATAACAGTGTGTTGTACACTATGGAATTGCTAATAGATCAGATTTTAAATATCTTCAACCCTTAAAATATGTATGTGAGGTAATGAATATATTAATATGCTTGATTTACACATTCCATATTGTACACATATATTAAAATGTCATGTTGTATGCCATAAATATATACATTTTTTCTCATTTTTGACCTTTTGCCATCAAATCAATTTTAATAATAACACAGGCAAAAGACATGATATTTCAGCCAAGGTTACAGACAAATAGCAAATTTGCACCTGAAAAGAAGTTCAACATCCTTAGCCAATAGAGAAATGCGAATTTAAATCACTGTGAGAGAATGCTACTTAGCCATCAGTATGACTAGAATACGGTGTGACAATAGCAAATGCTATGGGAGGATATGGACAAACTGGATCGTTCCTGTATTGTTGGTGGGTACTGGGGATAAAGCCAGTGCTAGAAAACTTGCCTAGCATGAGTGGGGCCCTGGATTCAATTCCTTGCATCTTAAAAAAAGAAAATCAGACCTTGCTGGTGGGAGTGGAAAATAGCACTGCCATTCAGGAAAATGATTTGGAAAATCTTTATAAAAATGACCATCCAACTACTGTATTTACAGGATGATTTGCACTCCTGGACTTTAATTTCAGGTAATGAGACATCTATGTGCACATAAGAACCTGTATGAAAATGTTCATGACATTTTGTTTGTTATATTCCCAAACTTAAAACAATGGATGAAAACAAAAAAACAAACTGTGACCTGTCCAAACTCTGGACTGCCACTCAACAGTGGAAAAGAATGGACTAGGGGTGCACCACCATCTGGATCAATCTCTGGAGAATCATGGTGAGAGAAAAACTCCAGTTCCTAAAGAGCACATACAATTTAATTCTGTTTACACAGCACTTTTGAAGTGACAACATTTTAGAAAAAGGACAGATTAGTTTGTGTTACTTTGAAGGGCATCATGAGGATGGCTGGTACTGACAGGATTCTTCTGTTATCTATGTCAGTTAATACTCTGGATATTTTCTTGTACTAAAGTTTTGTTAGATGTTCCCACTGGGGTAACTGGGTGTAGGGTCCTTGGGATCTTCATATTATTTCTTACAACTACATTTGAATATACAATTACCTCAAAATAACATTTTTAATTAAAAAATGTGTGAGACCCCTTTTTCCTCCTTGGACACCTTAAGAAGCTGATAGGGCTTATCAACCAAGTAACACAGTTCAGTGTTGGACATATTGAATGTCAGACTTGGCTCCAAGGCAGGGCTTCCCTACTCTTGCTGATGTATGCTGTAGTGGTTAAAAGCAAGTCTGAGATGACCTAACTCCCGCTCCATTTGGCTGCCCCAGACTGAGGACCTGACGCCATATTTGACATATGTCTTGTTGAGGTTTTCCAGTTGGAAAGTACTTGCCTACAAATCCTAACATGCCTTTGAGAAGATTCCTAAAGAATTCTATCACTTGAGTGTGGGACATGCCGGTCACATAAATTACTAGTATGAGGTAAATTGTGTGTTTATTGTACTTCACTTCAACCAATATTAATTGTCTGGTGAAATAACCTCATGTTGAATTGAGAAAGCATGAATGTCAAACACCACTGTAAGCGTCTTGTTTGTTTGTTAATCATTGACAACCCATAAATACTTCCTTCTCCAAATAAGGAATCCAAAACAGGAATCCCTTACACCATCGGAAGAGTTGAAAATTGTGCATTTTGAGAAGGTATCTGCATTGTCCAAATAATCTCAGCCTCTGAGCTCTTGGCTAACTAGGCTACAACAAGCACTGAAGTCCTGTTCTTAATTCATCATTTGCCACATTGTGATGTTGGCTGGGAATTGTCTTGGTCTCTCTAGAAGGCCAACGCTTTTGTGTTCGACAAAGAACACAAGACGGTAAGCATGTCAGACCATGAACATATAATTTCTCACAAAGAATACCAGATTGTAACAACTAGTAGCTACCAAACATAAATATTAATTTAATGTTTTAACTGTTTCTGAAAATAGACAACAAAATAGTGTCTGATAATCACTTTCCTCATATTTTTCTCTTTTATGTAGAAAAAGAACAATTACCTTTCCATATTGCTGTGAAAATGATCCATTTACATTTTAAAATTTATGTTCTGTTTCCCTCAACACATTTTTAAGTGATTTATCTTGGTAATACATTAGATATAAATATTTAATTCTCTTCTAGTTCTAATACTAAATTCAGGGACAAGAGAAACATATGTGCATCTATATTTTTATGAAATTTATTGAAATTTTCAGAAGTCTACTAATGTAGCTAGAGACACTTCTTGTGTTGCACAAAGATTATTTCTACCTTCACTCATTTGCTTCTAGTTTTCCTTGCCCCAATATTAGATTTATGGATTCAATATCAGCTAGCTTTGAAAAAGATATACCTATAAATATTATTAATCCATATATCAGGGGTTTTAAATTCCTTATACAGTCATCAAACAATCAATTATCAAGCCACTTTTGTGTGATCAGAAGAAAAAAGCTATTGAATCTATAATATATTTAATAAGTCACTCAAAAATAATTTAGAGGTCTCCAGAACACCAAAAAAATAAAGAAAGAAAGAAAAGAAAAAAAATCTGAAATGGATAATCTTATCTTCCTAAATCCCAAAATATAACAATTTTGAAACTCTAAATATAATGTTTAAGATATATATGAAATGCAACTTTATTTCCTTCCAAATTAAAATCTTGAAAACAAGTTTATTATAAAGATTAACCTACTTCATAGGCCTGAATAATACCATTAAAGTAATAAAAGCCTTTATTGAATAAACCCCCACGAGCAAGAACAAAGTGATAGTATTCTACCTCAAGACATTCACAAGTTTTAACAGAGCAATCGGCCTGGTCATCTTTGAAGTCTAATTTGCTTTTGAAGAGTTTATAGACACAAAACATTAAATGCTGCTGACACTTAGAAAGAAATTTAATGGTCAATAGGAAACAACAATGAAGATGTTGTTGAAGCTCGTTCCATTAAATGCGTATGATGATATTTTAGTGATTAAGTGCCTCATGGAACATAGATTATTATTTTCTTTTGAGTGGGTTGCCTGTATTTTTTCATCCTTGAAACTGGGATGAAGGGGGCCGGTTAACCTTGGAGCTGATGCTAATCCTTGCAGTATCTTTCCCATAAAGTTCAAATTGTTTTGTAAATACAGTTTTCCAGCTGCTCCAGTTTTCTGACCCATTAATCTGAAAGCCATCTTGTGTCTTCAGTAAGCTCACAATTTCTCCTTAAATATAAATAATAATAGTACTTATCTCTCTTGGAGTCCCTGTGAGTATAAAATGAGTTAATTTATTTAAAGTGCCTAAAACAGTGTCAGGAACATGGCAAAACAAAGATGCCAGCAGTTCTTCTCATTACTGTCCAGTTAAATCTGAAAAACCAAGGATATGCCCATAGTAAAGCAGCATTCTTCTAAAAGCACTTAATCTAAAACATTACCAGAGCAAAAAGTGTATTAAGTGACCTCCATCTCATCTTCATTCTAATCTCAAAATACATAACTATTTATATGGTATTTGCTTTCATTTTGGTTTCCCGGAAAAACTTGGAAATCAAAACAATCTGTTTTCAATCTTGTCACTTCTATTTACTAGTTGTGTGACCCTAGTAAAGCTAATATTTCTAAGCTCCACTTTATCTAGCCGTAAAGGATGAACAATACTCTCTTAATGGGGTTGTTGGTAAAATCAAAGAAAATAGTTTGTGGAAACATTTCACATATAACGTGGCTCATCACAGGTATTTAGCAACTGTTGCTTTTCCATACTTATTTCTTTGTTTTCAAAAGTGGTGATCTGAAAATAAGAATGACTTTTCTAAGAGAGTGCAACAGGCTAAGTTTTAATCTGGCATCAGTTGCTTAAAGTAAACATAATCTCATAGTGAAGAATCAATTATTCTGATTTTCCTATTAGTTCAGAGAGAATTTCGCATAAAATTTTGAGACTAAGAAAGAATTGTGACCTTTTTACTATTTGGTTTTACTTAGTGCAAACATGAAAGATTTGCCTTAAATGTTTTCAGAAAATTTAATTAAAAAACTTATTATTTTCCTGAGAAACCCTTATTGATCACTTTTACCTAAGTCAGAGACATATCATATATAAAATAACTACAGGGGCTGAGGTTGTGGCTCAGTGGTACTCACCCACCATGCATGTGGCACTGGTTCGATCCTCAGCACTACATAAATGTAGAATAAAGATATTTTGTCCACCTAAAACTAAAAAATAAATATTTAAAAAACTGCAAATATTTAAGTTTATCTGGGAAACAATTCTAAAGCTTAACTCTATTTTTTATATTTCAAGGGAATACTTATGTATGCTTAAGAAACTTACAAAAGTTAAAAAAAAAAGATCAGTCAAAATCTCACATGCAAAAAGAATCATTATCATATTTTCATTGTTTCTATTTTTATGCAGAAAATCTAGTTAATTTTCAAATATTCATAAACTTATCTCACATTGAAAAGACTGTGGACTGTGGAAAACCCCACAAAGGTACAGATTTTTGGAGTAAGCAGGTACATGAAACATGGGGATGATCTAAGGTGTTGGGCTCCATTCCTTGGGTGAGTGACTGACAGAGGCACATCAAAGCCATTTTAGGCAACAGAGCCTCCCAGCATCCTGAATGGGATGAGCCAGGTACATGAAGTCACATTAAGGAACCTATCATGTCCTAGAGTTTAGGTCTACCAGTTTAGGGAAAGATGGCACATAGCCAAAGTTAGTCTTTTTTTTTTTTTTTTTTTTTAGAGAGAGAGAGAGAGAGAGAGAATTTTAATATTTATTTATTTTTTTTAGTTTTCAGCGGACACAACATCTTTGTGTGTATGTGGTGCTGGGGATCGAACTCCGGCCGCACGCATGCCAGGCGACCGTGCTACCGCTTGAGCCACATCCCCAGCCCAGCCAAAGAGTCTTAAGCACAACTTAAATTTCCTGAAAGAAGAGGGGTGTCACCAAAATCTGCAGGACTCAGTGAAGAACAGCTCCTGTCTTCCCAGCGCTTCTCAAACTTACATCAAACGCCCACACTTTGGGTGGGACTGTAGGTTCAATCACTCTGTCTTTCTGATTCCTTCCCCCTCCTTTGCATACAGAACAAAAGTGAATTTTCAAAATTTAAATAAACGTATATGAGGTGGTTTTATTACATTGCACTTCTTGTACTTTTAAACATGTTCAAGCAGAAGGGGGCTTACATTTAGAATTAAGGCTGACCATAAGGTTATGTTATTAGATATTTGACTAAATAAATATCTATATCTATAGCTATAGCTCTATCTTTATCTCCTAGAAACTCCTTATCCAAGATTTCATTGGAAGATTCTTTAGAAAAATAAACTCAGTGTTATTCAATTCATCGGGCCTTTTCTATTACAAATACTTCCATGGTTATTACATAAGTTTAGGGGATGATGCTGGGTTTTCTAGTTAATGGGATATTCACCACCTTAGCAGAAGGAAGAGCCCAATATGAGAAATATAAAAAACATTGAAAATTGAAGAGCTTCAGCTGGTCATTAAAACTTGACATATTCTAACATACTGAGATAGATAGGAAGATTTGGAGGTACTTTGTCAGGTGCTGGATATTTTTTTCCCACAGTTTTCTTCTCCCACTTTTCTAGTAGAAACAAGAAATCTGGCCAACCAGAAAGTGTTCTGGGTATGGGCCATTTATCTGGATGGCTCATTGTAATGGTTAATTTGAATTGTCAGCTTGACTGGATTAAGAGATGCTGATGATTAAGAGGCTTCTGGGTGTGATGAGCATATGTCTAGGAATGATTGGCATGTGGGAGAGCCAACTGAAGTGGAGACCAGCCCTGCACATGGGCAATACTGTCCAACAGGATGGTTGCTTGGATGGAATAAAAGATGGAAGAACAAGGAAGCAGCAGCAGATGCAAGTCTGGTTCTTCTTGAACAGGTTCTTGCTTGCTGCTGCAATTGTCTGAGGATATTGGACTCTCACTTCCTCACTCTTCCAAGCAGCCTCTGCCAGTGGATTCTCCAGAAGCCTTCAGTCTCAGACTAAGGTAGCACCTTCGATCCCTCTAGTTCTGGGGTTTGAGCCTCTTGGACTGTGCAACTACTGCTTCCTCCAGTTCTCCAGCCTGCAGACAGCCATTGTGGACTATCCAGTTTCTGGTCACATAAGCCAACCTAATAAGTCTGCTTTTCATAATCCTACTTCCTGTTGATTCTGTTCCTCTAGAGAACCCTGACTAATACACTCATTAAGAAATATTTTTATTAAATATGGAAGAATTCTGTAATAAAACTCAGGAGAAGAATATAGTGAAGTCAAGGTTTTATTTCAAAAGGAATAAATCCAAAGTCATTAGCAATTGAAAAATACAAATTTAAGATTAAAGATCAGAGCCGCCCCCCACCCCCCGCGCCTGCCAGGTAGGGGAACTGTGACCACGGACAGAAAAGGCCCAGTGGCCCGCGGCGGGACAGAGCTTCCAATCACTCCTGCAAGGTAGGCGGGCCTGCGACCCACCTGCAGAAGAGGAGCAGCGGCCTGCTGAGAGGCAGAGCCGCCCCCTCCCCCTGCACCAGCAAGGTAGAGGGAACTGTGACCACGCACAGAACAGGCCCAGCGGCCTGCTGAGGGGCAGAGCCGCCCCCCACCCCCCACACCTGTCAGGTAGGCGGAACTGTGACCACTGACAGAAAAGGCCCAGTGGCCCGCGGAGTGGCAGAGCTTCCAATCACTCCTGCAAGGTAGGCGGGCCTGCGACCCACCGGCAGAAGAGGAGCAGCGGCCTGCTGAGAGGCAGAGCCGCCCCCTCCCCCCCGCGCCTGCAAGGTAGACAGAACTGTGACCACCATCAGAACAGGCCAGACCTGCAATTGAGAGACAGAACAGGCCCAGTGGCCTGAGGAAGGGTAGAGCCGCCCCCCCCCGCGCCTGCAAGGTAGGCGGACCTGCGACCCACTGGCAGTACAGCCCCAGAGGCCTGCAGAGGGGCAGTGCCGCTGCCTGCGCCTGCAAAGTAGACAGAACTGTGACCACCGACAGAACAAGCCTAGCGGCCCGCAGAGGCACAGAGCCGCCGCCCGCGCCTGCGAGGGAGACTTTGCAACTATAGAAGACCAATATAAATATATAGGGGGAAAATTCAATAGCACAACAGTTTCACCAAGTAGAAAGGAACGCGTACAGTATGAAGAGACAAGGAAAGAAAGGACCACAAGCATTGCAGGTCAACTCAACGTTAGAAGAGGTAATAGCTGCAGCAGATGGAATGTCAGATAAAGAATTCAGGATATACATGCTTCAGATGATCTGGAGTCTCAAGGAAGACATCAGACAGCAAAATCAGACAATGAAAGATCACTTCCACAATGAATTACATAAACAAATCCAAGAAGCAAAAGATCAACTATACAGGGAAATAGAGGTTATAAAAAACAAACAAACAGAAATCCTGGAAATGCAGGAAGCAATAAGCCAACTTAAAAACTCAATTGAGAATACTACCAGCAGAGTAGAACACTTAGAAGACAGAACATCAGACAATGAAGATAAAGTATTTCAACTGGAAAAGAACATAGACAGCTCAGCAAGACTGTTAAGAAACCATGAGCAGAACATCCAAGAAATATGGGATAACATCAAGAGACCAAATTTAAGAGTCATTGGGATACAGGAAGGGACAGAGTTTCAAACCAAAGAAATGAGCAACCTATTCAATGAAATAATACGAGAAAACTTCCCAGACTTGAAGAATGAGACAGAACCCCAAATCCTAGAAGCCTACAGGACGCCGAATGTGCAAAATCATAAGAGACCCACACCTAGACACATTATAATGAAGATGCCCAACATACAGAATAAGGAGAGAATTTTAAAAGCTACAAGAGAAAGGAAGCAGATCACATTTAGGGGTAAGCCAATCAGGATAACAGCTGATCTTTCAACACAGACTCTGAAAGCTAGAAGATCCTGGAATAACATATTTCAAACACTGAAAGAAAATGGGTTCCAACCAAGAATTGTGTTTCCAGCGAAATTAAGCTTCAGGATGGAAGATGAAATTAAAACCTTCCACGATAAACAAAAGTTAAAAGAATTTGCAGATAGAAAACCATCTCTTCAAAACATCCTTGGCAAAACATTACAGGAAGAGGAAATGGAAAATAACAATGAAAACCAACAGTGGGAGGTAGGACACTAAAGGGGGGAAATAATCAAAGAGGAAAACAAACCATGTTTAGTAACATAAATAAACAAATATGGCTGGAAGAACAACCCATATCTCAATAATAACCCTAAATGTTAATGGCTTAAACTCACCAATCAAGAGACACAGGCTAGTAGAATGGATCACAAAACCAGACCCAACAATATGCTGCCTGCAGGAGACGCATTTGATAGGAAAAGACATACATAGGCTGAAGGTGAAAGGTTGGGAAAAATCATATCACTCATATGGACTTCGGAAACAAGCAGGAGTATCCATACTCATATCAAATAAAATAGATTTCAAGCCAAAGTTAATCAAAAGGGATAAAGAGGGACACTACATACTGCTCAAGGGAACCATATACCAACAAGACATAACAATCATAAATATACATGCCCCAAACAATGGTGCAGCTATGTTCATCAAACAAACTCTTCTCAAGTTCAAGAGTCTAATAGACCACCATACAATAATCATGGGAGACTTCAACACACCTCTATCACCACTGGACAGATCTTCCAAACAAAAGATGAATAAGGAAACTATAGAACTCAATAACACAATTAATAACCTAGACTTAATGGACATATATAGAATATACCACCCAACATCAAGCAGTTACACTTTTTTCTCAGCAGCACATGGATCCTTCTCAAAAATAGATCATATATTATGTCACAGGGAAACTCTTAGACAATATAAAGGAGTAGAGATAATACCATGCATCCTATCTGATCATAATGGAATGGAACTGAAAATCAATGATAAAAGAAGGAAGGGAAAAGAATACATCACTTGGAGAATGAAAAATAGGTTACTGAATGATCAATGGGTTATAGAAGACATCAAGGAAGAAATTAAAAAATTCTTAGAGATTAATGAAAACACAGACACAACATATCGGAATCTATGGGACACATTGAAAGCAGTTCTAAGAGGAAAATTCATTGCTTGGAGTTCATTCCTTAAAAAAAGAAAAAACCAACAAATAAATGATCTCATACTTCATCTCAATATCCTAGAAAAAGAAGAGCAAAACAACAGCAAAAGAAGTAGAAGGCAAGAAATAATTAAAATCAGAGCTGAAATTAATGAAATCGAAACAAAAGAAACAATTGAAAAAATTGACAAAACTAAAAGTTGGTTCTTTGAAAAAATAAACAAAATCGACAGACCCTTAGCCATGCTAGCGAAGAGAAGAAGAGAGAGAACTCAAATTACTAACATACGGGATGAAAGAGGCAATATCACAACAGACACTTCAGAAATACAGAAGATAATCAAAAATTATTTTGAATCCTTATACTCCAATAAATTAGAAGATAGTGAAGGCATCGATAAATTTCTTAAGTCATATGATCTGCCCAGATTGAGTCAGGAGGATACAGACAACCTAAACAGACCAATATCAATTGAGGAAATAGAAGAAACCATCAAAAGACTACCAACTAAGAAAAGCCCAGGACCGGATGGGTATACAGCAGAGTTTTACAAAACCTTTAAAGAGGAACTAATACCAATACTTTTCAAGCTACTTTGGGAAATAGAAAAAGAGGGAGAACTTCCAAATTCATTCTACGAGGCCAACATCACCCTGATACCTAAACCAGACAAAGACACTTCAAAGAAAGAAAACTACAGACCAATATCTCTAATGAACCTAGATGCAAAAATCCTCAATAAAATTCTGGCCACTCAGATACAAAAATTATCAAAAAAATTGTGCACCATGATCAAGTAGGATTCATCCCTGGGATGCAAGGCTGGTTCAATATACAGAAATCAATAAATGTTATTCACCACATCAATAGACTTAAAAATAAGAATCATATGATCATCTCGATAGATGCGGAAAAAGCATTTGACAAAGTACAGCATCCCTTTATGTTCAAAACTCTAGAAAAACTAGGGATAACAGGAACATACCTCAATATTGTAAAAGCAATCTATG